TCTAAGTTAAATAATCTAGAAAGATGCTTAGACATTTGCATGAAATCACACACACAATCGTGTGAGATAGGGTAGAGGTGTTCAAAAGTAATATAGTTAGGTGGAGAGACAGACAGGTTACTCATCGAATCAACACATCATACACGTGCAACCAAAATGATGCAACACATTTCCAAAATATATAGAAAATTTCAAAAAAAACAACAGTAGGGAGTGAGGCTTTATGAAAGCCAATTAGGAAGTCATATGAATACACTGATATTGATTATGAGTAGTCAAAAAAAAATTGTGCTCAAAATGTTATTTAGATATTAATACTGTATGATCAGTGCGTTTTATGTCGAGAAGGATTACCGCGGTGCCCGAATCCTACTGTTAAGTCAATTTGAATACAAATTCCTGCTACACTGTTATCTAATGATCTAGTAGTTATGTTAAGATGAAATCGTTGAATCGTTGAATAAGTGATTATGTATAACTCCATTATGGATAAAATTTTATTTTGTTGTACAGTAATATTTACTGATGATAACCACGTTTCCAGACAAGCTCTGTAGTCTAAAGGACTCTGTAGGTTGACCCAATTGGACAAAATAATATAGTTTACAAAATACCCTGCAATGACTGTGAGTTAGGTCAACTACATAGGTCAGTCAAACTAGTAGATCGCGGGTAGTGAGATTGCTTGTCAGAACATAAGAATTTAGCTAAGGTTAGAATGATTGATCCCACCAGTGAAGAGAAATAGTTTTGAAAAAAGTTCAGCGATTGCACTGCATGCATTAACACTCAAGCACACGATAGGGTGAGAGAGGGTTAAAATTCCAAGAAGCATTATAGGTAGATGGAGACTGAGAGAGATTGATTACTGAATCCTGGCTCGTTCATTGAGTCTACACCCAACACATGCAACAGAAATGACTCAATGCAAATACCAGAGATATGTATGGAAGATATTATTACCACCAGTCAGTCAAATCACATGAGGATAATAAATAATGTTAAAATTTATTTCAGTTCAGTTCACATTATAACATTCTAAGAAGTTATTTATTTTACTATAAAAACATCTTATTTCCCATCTGATTGTATTTGATTGATAACACTAATAATTGTATTTCTGAATGTATTTTATCTTACATTGATTGATTTTATTCAAATGTCTAACCATCAATTTCTACTCATGTATATAAATGAAGCAAGAAAGTTGTGTGAGTAGTGTCTTGATATGATGAGGATGAGCAGTAATAAATTGTGCTCGAAATGTGGTTATCATCAGTAAATATTACTGTACAACACTGTGTCATTTTATAAAAATAAAGTCTTATCCATAATGGAATTATACTCTACCACCATAGTTTTATACTTACATAAACTGACTATGTAGTTTTTAAGTGTTAGTTTGTAGAAATTTCATTAGTTTAGAGTTTCAATACAGACTCAGATATCAGTTAGAAAACCTGGGGAATTACCAGACTGCTATTTCGTCCTAGTCTGAAACTCTTCAGACTTACGTACCCATAACCCCACCAGAAACCGAACTTAGGAACTTCAGAATACAAGGCGATCTCATTTAACGATTCTCTAACTGATAATAGTCCGTAATCAAAATAAAACCAGTCGAATCCCTAAAAATCAACACTTGGAAATTTTTTCTGATACTCACTGGTGACTTACTACTACTTAACTAGGTTATGACCAATAAGAGTCCACAAAATCCGGCGTGTAGACAAATACTTGCCAATGATATTGGCTGGTGCGATAGAGCTAAAAATCTCCAAATGACAGAAGTCAGAGTTCACGGGTGGCCAGTTGATTCCGTCCCCGTGGCTGAATAGTCTACGAGTACACCGAACAACTTGAAGTTCATGTGCTCGATCCCTGGTAGTTTGGATCATAGACACGTGCTTCTGAAGAGTCCCAAGCTACGACGAAACAACTGTCCAGTACTTCCTATTTTTCACTGGTTCTCTTGCTGATATCAGTCTGTGATTATGTAATGCAACAAACTATGAATTCAATTTATCCCTTCTAACAGGCAAAAATATTTTTTAGGTTAATTTCGTGGGAAAGAAAAATGAAATTTCACTGGAATAAATTTATTTTAATCCTTGTTTTTTTCTCTCCCTCTGTCTCTTGCTTTTATCATATAACAAAAACAAAATGCAGATTACCCCCATTACGTCACATTTGATGTTTATGAAGAAAACTCAAGTTTTGCAATCAGAAATTTACCAAAATTCAAATAAACAAAAACAAAACCCCCTTGAAGAAACAAGCAGAATAAAAAAAACAAAAACAAGTGTGACAAATGTTCAGAGACATCTGGAACGGTTTCGTCATGAGAACCAACGGGAAAATCTGAGAAATGGTGGATAGCCGACTGTTTCGTCCTCATGTGGGACTCATCAGCAGCATGCATTCACTGCTAGAGTTGCAATCCAGTACCTAGCGGCTACAAGACGAGCTTGTAGACCATCCATTAAGACACTGGAAACCGACCCAATAGCTCATGAGCTTCAACTTCTGTCGGTTCATGATACAATGCGACCAATGGCCAGTGTTATCAGCGAGTATTATGACATCTCCATGAAAAGGATCTTTAGTACAAGAGCGTTTGTGTTGTGCGGAATAATATGGTGAGTATTATTAAGATTAGGCGCAGAGTGTTAGGCAACTATGGTTAGTCAATCGATGAAGTTGGGAAGCTACATTGATTGAGGTGTTTAGGACACGTTCTGCTCATTCAGAGCCATCGCCATCCTGAAAGAGAACTGTTAGCTTACAAACGATCAGGCTGGAAAAGAGTTAAAGTTGGTCAAAACAAAATATTTTCAAGTATTGGTTTTGTAGGGATTTTGTTTGATTTCATAGAGGATTTCATCATGAGCTGACATCAGTTAGAGAACCACTGGAAAACCTGGGAGTACTGGACAGCCGTTTCGTCCCTGGGTTCGCAACCCGGCGGTGCCTGCGTACTGATGAAGAGTTCCAAATCAGGACGAAACAGCTGTCCAGTACTCCCTGGCAGGTTTTCCAGTGGTTCTCTAACTGATGTCAGCTCATGATGAAATCCTCCATGCAATGAAACAAAATATGACTGAGATCAATCCATGGAATCTTTGTGTTTGTGAGTCAAAGCCGTCACTCAGCGAGGTGTAGACTATCTGGTTAGGATCCTCGCGATATTAAGAATCAATATTTAGAAACTATTCGAGGTATGGCTGAAAGTCGTTATCAGTATCGGAGATGCATTCATTCTCTGTGATCCCCTACATTTATTAAACCGTCATATTTTATTACGTTACTATCCTTTTACATTTCTAATTATTATCGTTATTTCGAATCCGTATTTTCTCTCTGTTTTGCCTACCTCTGTGTCGTATATGGAGTGTGGTAAGTTGAACTGGTGCACCTCTGTGCAAAAAGTTCCATGTTGACGCTCAGACAAGCGGTCAGTCAGTCACATGGGCGTTTAAAAACATAAACAGTTCATAAAATATTTTGGACCAAGTTAAACTTTAAGCACCACTAACTACCAAACAGCAAATGACCCTGAATACTCCAATAAGTTTCACCCACATGAGTTGAAGGTTCTATTCCGCTTGATTCTAGTCAAATGTCAGGGGAGGTAAGCTGATGATTCTAATATTTCATAGGAACATTTTTTGCTAGGTCCCACTTGTCCGCAACCCAGATTTTGTTAACTTGTAATTAATGGGTTTTAAAACAGCCTATGAGAGCTACACCTGCTGAAACAGAGAAATAAGTCTCCTATTAACAGTTAAGTGGTACCAGCACTGCAGAGATATCGTTGCCATACACATATCTACTTTTCACTCAGTGGCCAATTTTCTGCAGAACTGTTCAGTCAAATCTTGAGCATAGTTCGTATAAATCGAAAGCAATCACTCTGTAATTATAATAATAATAATAACAACAGAAAAGAGACTTTAGAAAAACACATTCCATCTCTTAGATGAGAAGTGATGTAGGTTACTCTAAACTTAAGTGATCCAAGTGAATGAAAGTCATAATGGCCTTGATCACATAAGCCCATAGTAAATACACGGAAATATGGATGTAGTACACAAATTACCTTGCAGATTTGTTTTGATTGGACACTAGTCAGTAACTAGTGTAATGTATCTAGTCCTATCTTTGACGCACACTGAACTCTATCAGTCAAGCTCGTAATGTGGACACCAATACAGCGTCCGGCATCCAATACAGTCCTACAGGAGGTCATCCCTAGCCCAAATAACTCAATGGTAACGTCTCTGACTGACTGACTGCAGGACTGGGTGACGCGAGTTTGAATCTCAGAAGGGAGAGTAGTTCCTTCAAGGCAGTTGCAGATACGCCTTTCTGAAGAGTGCCCACTATGATGAAACCCAGAGCAGAAGAGGTTTCCTTCCGATTGCCTCTAACCATCTAATACGTTGCCGACTGCATCACGATTTAGTATTTTAATACTGTTTCGACTTTAGGAAACAATAAAACATACAGATGGGGAAGAGTAATGTCTTTTCAGAGATAGGTAACCGCTGTTAATAGATAATATGTAGAGATGTTTAGACTGTCATCGCAGAAAATCTGTACCAGAAGGTACGTGGTTGCTGCAGAGTAGTGAATGGGTCAAGAAATAGCATGATATACAATTATCTAGATGAATTTACGTGCAGAAATAGGTTTTGCCTACCACTGAAATCTTCAATAAGGAATTTAGAGATATTTTTGGAACATATGCAAGAATGTTATTTGATTCATCTAGAAAAGTTTTTAAATTGCGCGGTTTTACTATGGATTAATCTGATTGGTTGATAAAGGTGTATAAAGATCATTACGACGGTCGTTCACTTGGATCACTGTACTTTAGAGTAATTGTGATTTCATATCAAATGTTAAACTTTTCAAAAAATAAGATTATAAAAATGAGGATATGAATAATGTATGTAGAGAAAACTATCAAAAAACTCATCTTTTTTTAAACATGAATATTACTCACCACTGTGAACAGGTAATTTCTGGTTGATCTGGTCTGAGATACTGTTTGAAATATCCAATGACTGACGAAAATGTTGTTTTGATCGCTCACCATTTTGGTTCATTTTTCTCTGACGACTATTCTTTGCAGTTAATTTCATATTATTGTTATTATCACTTCTGTTATTGACATCAGAGCCATCCGACAACGATGATGATGAAGGAGATGAGTAGGGAGAAGATTCAGAGATGGAAGATGAAGAAGAAGAAGATCTATTCTGCCTTTCCGTTGATAGTTTTGTTCGATTCCATTGAGGAGTGCCTTTTCTATGCATCTGTCTTGAACTTTTATTTATCCTTTTATTACCACACTTGATCATGAAATAATCATTAGCTACAAAACTGGTTTGTACGCATGAATCTCTCAGAGGTTTAATTCTATCAGTGTTTCCTGTTGAACACTGAATCTCTGTGGATATCTGTCGAACCTGAAGAACTTTTGTAGGTAAAGCTGAATCAGCCTGTTCTGAACATTCTGTATACTTGTCATGTGATTGAGAACTTGTTTTGTGCTGAAATCAAACAAGAATGGAGACAACACATATAAATTATAAATCCACATTATTCAATATCATATTGGTTTATTTTGATTGATTACTATGCGTCTTGTCCTTCGTTGCGTGCAGACTAACTCCTATCAGTGGTAAAGTCTGTGAATGAAGTACTATCAGCCCCAACGGGTTGATCTCTGACGAAATCTCAGCACGGATACAGAGGGCTAGTTTCACATATGCCAGTTTACGCTGTCTCTGGCGTAGACATGATATCCAACTATCGACCAAAGGGCGTGTGTACTGCTCAGCACTCCACTCCGTCCTCCTTTGTGGCTATTGCTGAGACCTAGCTATTGAAAGTGAACGACATGAAAAGGCTGGCTGGCTGTCTTTGATCACAGGTGCCTGCGTTCTATCTCCCGTGTGAAGTGGTATAATAAGGTGAGCGATATTGAGGTTAGGCATTGGTCAAGTGCTAGGTGGGTGGGAGGGGAAATCAGTCGACGAGACTGTGAAATTACATCGACTGAGATGGTTAGGACATGTCTTACGTATGCCTAGTCATCGCCTTCCTCGACATCGGGCAATGTTAACTGATATAGGGTCAGGCTGGAAAAGAGCTAGCGGCGGTCAAACCAAAACATGGCACCAGTCAATGAAATCTACAATAGTTAGTCTAAGCCACATAGGAAGGTGTAGACTTCCTAGTTGGGGTCCTCGGGACGGTAAAAACCAATGGTTGGAAACAATTGGTGACATGGCTCAAAATCGTTGTCAATGGCTGGTGCAGATGCATCCATTCCTTGTGACTTATGATTTCCAATGAAACTGTTTTGTTCTTCGTTATTACTATTCCCTTGTCTCACACCTCTGTTTACTGTCTATATTATGCATTTCTCCTACTTTCTTCTCTTGGTTTGTGTGCTCCATGGAGGGAGTGTGGCGACTTGAACTGCCGCACACATGTGCAAAGTTCTATGTCAAAAACAGACAGACTAAGGGACCTAGGTTTTAAAGAACATGAGTTTCTTCAAGAGTGCATATACGTCTTTACAACTGTCTGGTAAGTGACAGGGAGCACGAAATCTAAGTCAGGCAAGGGTTCCTCCAAACACTTAACAACCTTATAGGTATATTGGTAACTATTTACTGGCACTGAGTAATTTCCAACTATATATATATATATATCAACCCAGTAGTGGTATATCGGATAAAATGTCAGTTATTTCAGCAGTTTGTGAACAAGACATTTGCCCCTGTTGAGGGCTGATAATATCACTTTAAATGCCAAGTCTGAAGCACGCGGAAAAGGACTTCGAACTCGGGACCCATTAGCTAACAGCTGAGTACTGAAGCGGATGAGTCAAATCTGTACAATCGGCATTGTTTCACCTACTGCCTGATAAGCGGCAAAGATGAGGATGTCAAAGGCAGACAGAATCGAAAGAACATGACAGAGCTTCAGTAATCTGAAACAAATCTGGAGACCTACTGCACTCAGCGTAAGGAATAAAATTCAGATTCTATTCTAATAATACTAGTGTCAAATCAGTTAGTGCTTATGTATATTTCAGAGACTTGGCACAGGCAACACCAAAAGCATTTCAAATAGCTTACTGCAGTCTTCTTTTATTAGCAGCTGTCCACTTTGTTCCATACGAAATATCAGATGGCATTGGATGAATCAATCAAGAACCAATCACCTGGCAAATATCCAGGAGAAAATAGGGATGGATCAGACGCACTCCAGGAAACTCCTTAAGTGGGACCCAAATTGGAAGCAGTCAACTGGACACTGATCTGAAGGTGACACAGAGGAGATGAGAGCTTGTAGACAACCGTGGAGCCAGATGAAGAAGACTGCAGAAATGGGACGAAATGGAAATGTACTGTGGAAGCCTTCCCTATATTTCTCACTCGAAACCCAGGGGTATAGTAATAATACAATTGTAGATATAGTGGGATTTCAGTGGTCAATGATTCACCAAAGTTCATGACACTTCCAAACCATTGATTCTTTATGCTCAGTATACAGAATCAATGTCATTATATGCTCAGATGATAATTTACGCTAAAGAAGTGGATATTATATTAATATTGTTCTCTTGGGATCCTAGTGGAACATAGGGCTTCAACTACACGTCTCCACTTGCTTATGTCTTCTGCTTTACTTTTCACTTGCATCCATGTTATTCCATACTGTTTCAACTCCTCTTCAAACGATCTCCTCCATGTCACCCTTGGACGTCCCACTCACCGCTTCCCTTTCGGGTTCCACTCGAGCACTGGCCTGACGCGCGATGTCACCCAGCGAGTGGCCTCCTCAGCGAGTGTCCAATCCATCTCCACTTTCTCCTGCATATTTGTAGAGCGATTGGGTCTTGTTTTGTTTGTTCCCATAGTTTCTTGTTGGTGATTCTTTCCGGCCATCTGATCTTCAAGCATAGAACGAAGACAGCTGTTGATAAAGGTCTGCAACAGGCTGTTGGAAATATTCTGTGTCACCCGCCAAGTTTCTGATCCATACGTATAGAAGAACTGACTGACTTGACGTTTGTATTGAAAATCCGAATCATTTTGTTGTTGATGCAGGCTGAGTGACGAAGATTTCCAGATTGGTTTCAGGTTGATGAATGTGTTTCTCGCCTTCCCGATTCTCGATTTGACATCCTCGTCCGTTCCTCCTGTAGTTGAGACGATGCTCCCTAGATAAGTGAATGAAGTAACCTCTTCCATCAAATCACTTCCGTTGATGGTGATTGGCGTTGGATGTTGGTGCTGCTGTTGTTGTTGTTGGTTGTTTGGTTATTTTCATAACCTCCATCTTGTCTATGTTCACCTGGAGTCCTGTGTTCTCTGGCTGCTTCTTCGACCAGTTTTTCGGTTTTCGCTTGTAAGTCTTCAATTTTGTGTGACATCAAACATAAATCATCTGCGAAATCCAGATCTTCTAGGTTCTTCACGTCGGTCCAGGATATCCCTGTCTTCTCGTTTCCCACTGTCTGACTCATAATCCAGTCCACCACAATTATCATTGGTAATATCATTGGTGATAATAAGCACCCTTGTCTGACTCCTGTGTTTACTCCAAACGCCTCGCTGAATTTTCCGTTGTGGATCACTTGACATGTGCCGTTGTCGTACAGCTGTTGAATAAGGTTGATGAATATTTGGGGTACGCCGAAGTATTCGAGTAGTTTCCAAATTACTTCGAGGTCAACGCTGCGCTGTCGAAGGCCTTCTCAAAGTCTATGAAGGAAGTTGAGGTAGAGGTTTGATTGCCATTCCATGCTTTGTTCGATGATGATGCGTAGAGTTGCAATTTGGTCAGAACGTGATTTGCCTTTCCTGAATCCAACTTGTTCTGGTCGGAGTTCTGTATCCAGTGCGTCCTTTATTCTCTCCAGGATGATGCGACTCAGGATTTGACTTGGCGTTGACAGGAGCATGATTCCTCACCAGTTCTTGCAGAGTCCTAAGTCACCCTTCTTTGGTAGTTTCACACGGTAACCTTTCCTCCAGTCATTAGGCACCTTTCCCTCCTTCCAGATCTTTTGCAATAATGGAGTCAGCATATCTGCTGTCGTCTCTGGGTCCGCTTTCAGTGCTTCAGGGGGTATTCCATCTGGTCCAGTGAATACATTATCTAAATACAACTGATCTCTTGTACAACTGTAGTGGCCAGATTAATCTGGGGTAATCGATTTCATATGTCCAGTCTCCTTAGTTTTGTTGATGACTGGATTATGTTAGTGAAATTGGCAGTATGGAGTCACTAATCTAGGAGACTGTAGGGTTGGGTAATGCTGATTTCAATCTCAGGAAGTGCCATGAGTTCCTTGACGAATGTAGATATATGGCTTGCTGACGAGTTCCAAAAGCAAAAAAAATCGCGGGTTCCGAACTTCCTAATAATTACCTCCAAATCTACCTTTACCAATACCTTAAAAACTGCATGGCAGTGTTTGAGTCGCCTAGATTTTTTATCAAACCCTCTAAAATTGACCGGCAATGAGGAAACATGCATAAAATGGACTCACACAAAATTCTTGGAGGATCTGGACTTCCCCGATGATATATGTCTGATTCCCCAAAAAACTGGAAGATATGCAAGCGAAAAGCAACAAGTTGGCAGAGGAAGCATCAAAGATAGGACTTCAGGCGAACATAGACAAAACAGAGGTAATGAAGATTCCTGGGCAATACCAACAGCGACAGAAACAAAAACAGACAACAATCAGTAAAAATGGAAGGAACCTGAAAGAAACAACCTCTTTTACCTACCTGGGAAGCATCGTTTCAACTACGGGCGAAACTGATGAGGATATCAAAGCAAGAATCGGAAAAGCAAGTCTGCGTGGAGGTCAACAGCACTCAGTATCAAAAATAAGATCCGGATTTTCAATTCCAATGTGAAGTAAGTGCTACTCCACATGGGTTAGAGAATTGGCGCGTCGTGAAGAGCACCTCGAACAAACTATAGACCTTCATTAACAGTTGTCTTCGCTCAATACTACTCAAGATCGGTTGGCCAGAAAAGATCAGCAACAGAGATCTCTGGCAATGAGCGAATCAACCAGGAACCGATTGTGAAACAAATAGACAGGAAGAAATGGAGATGGATTGGATTGGTGGCCATACTCTGAGGAAACAATCCATCAAGTGACATCACTAGGCAAGCCATTGCTCGAGTGGAACCCGAAAGGGAAGCGGCGAGGTGGTCGTCAGTGCAAGGGTGACTTGGAGGAGTTCATGTGAAGAGGAGATGAAAGCGTGTGGACAGACTTGGAGCCAGGTAAAGACTCTAGCAGAGAACCGAACGCAATGGAGACGCACGGCTGAAGCCCTATGTTCCTGTAGGAATTAAAGGAAACAATAATAATAATAATAATAATACGCTGAAGATGCTACCTAGTAAGGCAATGAAAGCTTCGTAAATATAAAGCATTCAGCTCAGAGAACACAACTACATCAAAATGAAAGAGTAACACAATTTTGAATCTATCTGTAAACAACAG